AGGGAGGGAGGGAGGGAGGGAGGGTTTCACAGGTGGAAGCATTTTCATTGTCCAACTCCCCCCAACAAGATCACCATTCCTCCAAAATGTATTTCAGCCTTTTGGTGACCACAGATCATGTGTAGAACCTGAAGAAAGAAATGGCCTTCCTATCCAGAATGAAGCATGCTCACATCCATCTCTCTTCTAAGTTGCATGTCCACAGGGCCTTCTTTGAGGACAACAAGAGACAAGAAGTAGGTGGCTGAGTTCTGGAAAGGGTGCCCCTGGATGTCATTGTTAGTGACCTTAGTGAGCATCTATATTCGGACCAGGTATTTTTTCAAAAAAATATTATTCATTATTCCTAATATACTGGTTTTATGAGACTTTTATTATTGTTTTGTTGTTGAATGGTGTGTGAGGGAAGGGGTAGTGCTTGTGTGTGTGTGAGTGTGTGTGAGTGTGTGTGTGAGTGTGTGTGTGTGTGAGTGTGTGAGTGTGTGTGTGTGAGTGTGTGTGTGTGTGTGTGTGTGTGTGTGTTTGTGGGGGTGTGTGTGGGTTGTGTGTGTGTGTGTATGTGTGAGTGTGTGTGTGAGTGTGTGTGTTGTGTGAGTGTGTGTGTGTGTATGTGTGAGTGTGTGTGAGTGTGTGTGTGAGTGTGTGTGAGTGTGTGTATGTGTGAGTGTGTATGAGTTGTGTGAGTGTGTGTATGTGTGAGTGTGTGTGTGAGTGTGTGTTGTGTGAGTGTGTGTGATGTGAGTGTGTGTGAGTATGTGTGTGTGAGTGTGTGTGTGTGTGAGTGAGTGTGTGTGAGTGTGTGTGTGTGAGTGTGTGTGTATGTGTGAGTATGTGTGAGTGTGGGTATGTGTGAGTGTGTGTGAGTGTGTGTGAGTGTGTGTGTGTGAGTGTGTGTGTATGTGTGAGTATGTGTGAGTGTGGGTATGTGTGAGTGTGTGTGAGTGTGTGTGAGTGTGTGTGTGTGAGTGTGTGTGTGAGTGTGTGTGTGTCAGTGTGTGTGTGAGTGTGTGTTGTGTGAGTGTGTGTGATGTGAGTGTGTGTGAGTATGTGTGTGTGAGTGTGTGTGTGTGTGAGTGAGTGTGTGTGAGTGTGTGTGAGTGTGTGTGTGTGAGTGTGTGTGTGTGAGTGTGTGTGTATGTGTGAGTATGTGTGAGTGTGGGTATGTGTGAGTGTGTGTGAGTGTGTGTGAGTGTGTGTGTGTGACAGAGAGAGAGAGAGAGTTTGTATGTGTTTGTGTTGGGTGTGTCACATTAGTGTGAGGTATGCATACCCTTGCACATACATGGATTCGTCAGAGGATGAAGTGGATGGTAGGAATGCAAGCTTAGATGCTCAAGCTTCCAGGGCAAGCATTCTTAGACACTGAGGTAGCTCTCCAGACCTTTAGTATTATTGTTCAACTATGTAGCCTAGAGTAGCCTAGAACTCATTATGTAGCTCAGGCTGACCTTCATATCACAGTCTCAACTTCTGGAGTGCTGGGATTGCAGGTGTCTGCCACTGCACCAGGTTTATCAGCCTATAATAAAGGCATAAAACAGAAATCAAAGGCACTGGAGAGATGGCTCAGTGGTTAAAAGCACTTGCTGCTCTTGCAGAGGACCTGGGTTTAGTTCCCAGCACGCAGGTGGCATCTTACAACTGCCTGTGATGTCAGCTTCCAGGAATCTGATGCTCTCTTCTGGCCTCTGAAAACACCAAGCCTTCATGAGGGGCACATTATACATGCAGGCCAAACACTCATACACCTAGGATAAATCTTTTTTTAAAAAGGAATTAAAACTCTCAATTATCCCATCACCACATTTTATTTATTGAGCATAGAAGTATACTTGTGAACATACATGTCCATGTTGCAAAAGACTGACTTTCTCATTCCTACACTCAATCCATATCCAAAGATAACAAAAAAGTTGTATTTTCCCATTATGGAATTCTATCAGACGAAGCATGAATAAAGGACATGGTGAACTTTGTATTCACTTTGTCATCGGTCACCTTAGTTGAGTCTCTCAGGTTTTAAATTTCTCAGTTGACTTTCTGGGTTTCCAGGCACCCGGTCACATTAACTCTCAATAACGCAACCTTGACTTTGTTCCGCCAGTCTTCACAGTGTTGATTTCAGCCTCCAGTCTAGGCATATTAGCATCTCCAGAGCAGTGTAAACTAACTGTGGAGACCAGAAACCTCTGTGAATTGTCCCTGATTCTAACAGAAATACTTCTAGGATCAGTATGTTCTTATGCATACATAAACTGCACATAGGAATATAAAGTTATCTGCATACATGAAACATACACTTTAATAATTGGCATGTATTTCTGTGAGGCCTTGGTGACTTTTTTGAAAGTGGATGTTGGTCATCCAGAGGCTATCAGCATCTGCTGAGATACACAGGGGTCTTCGCTCTGATCTCTCAGTCACGTGAGTAGACTTCCTGCGTGTAAATGGTCTTATGTCCTACACAAACTGATGGGCAGCCTTTCTTCTATTCTTCCCTGGGAATTCTAGCACCTTAAATGGAATTTTCCATAGCTATTGATGCGAGGTACATCTGTACCTTGTTAATTCCTTCATCCATTATGGTGCTTTCAGGACAGCAAGCAACTCATGATAGTTCCCTAAAACACCTGGAAATGTTCTTTCTCTCACACTTGGGAAAGTTTCAGTATCAAAATAACATTGAAAGATCTAAAATAATTCCTCTTGAGATTCTGGATTTGGTGGTTGGAGGGAAATAATTCCTTCCTCTGTTCATCAGTTTCTTCAAAAGTTATTCTGCCCAGCTGTGCCACTCCTGGACATGCACCCAAAGAGTCTTGTACCCTACCATAGAGACACTGCAATCTGTATTTATTGCTGTTGTGTGTGCTCATGACAGCAAAGAAACAGAACCAGCCTAGCGGCCCGCCCACAGATCAATGGATAATGAAAAAGTGGTACATCTATACAGCAAATGCTATTCAGCTACAAAGAAAAATAAAATCAGAAACATGGATGGATCTAGAGAGTATAGTATTAACCAAGGTGACCCAAACTCAGAAGGACAACAGCTGCATGTTCTCCCTCACATGAAGATCCTATTTTACAACGTATATAGTTTATAATGTATATAGTCTATAATGTATAATGTATATAGTCTATAATGTATAATGTATATAGACTATAATGTATATAGTCTATAATGTACATAGTCTATAATGTACATAGTCTATAATGTATATAGTCTATAATGTATATAGTCTATAATGTATATAGGCGTCTATAATGTATATAGTCGTCTATAATGTACATAGTCTATAATGTACATAGTCTATAATGTACATAGTCTATAATGTATATAGTCTATGATGTATATAGTCTATAATGTATATAGTCTATAATGTACATAGTCTATAATGTACATAGTCTATAATGTATATAGTCTATAATGTATACAGTCTATAATGTATACAGTCTATAATGTATATAGTCTATAATGTATATAGTCTATAATGTATATAGTCTATAATGTATATAGTCTATAATGTATACAATCTATAATGTATACAGTCTATAATGTATATAGTCTATAATGTATATAGTCTATAATGTATACAGTCTATAATGTATACAGTCTATAATGTATATAGTCTATAATGTATATAGTCTATAATGTATATAGTCTATAATGTCTGTAGCCTAGATGTGTAACTGTAAACACGGGTAAACGTGAGTATAGAAAGGCAACTAAGAGAAAATATTAGGTGATGAGGAAGGATGGAAGATAGGGAAAAGGACACAGGGGACATGAAAGAGAGAAAAGGGGCCTCTGAACTGACAGACATTCACACATTCAAACGCCCACACTTGTGAGCAAGGAGAGTCTGCCACTTCATCAGCTATTAGCTCTTCAGTGGAGTCACTGACCTGAGTCTTTCTCCACATGAATCATCATCAGCCATGCTGTCCTGGTGACAGGACCCATCAGCAGTGAGTCTCCCTGGAGCCACACTCTGAACTCACCTGCTTTCACTGAGGACAAAGAGCTTCCAGCAAAGCTGGCCTCTCACCAATCATAGCTCAGTGGAAATGCAGAAAGTTCCAGACCCATGCATCCTCGCATCTGTCACCCGGCTCTCCACTGAGGCAGTCTTCCTTCCTGCTTACCCACAGGTCCTGTAACTGAACACAATGAAGCTCTCCTCGTCTGTCCTCTCCACGAAGGTCACACAGGTGTGCTTCTCCCAGTGTCTCATGGCCTGCTTGAAAATGGCCCTCTGGCTGCCTGAAACAACAGGGCAAAGCTGGTCACTTCGCTCCTGGGCACACCACACCCTCTTTAGTCATGAAGGCACAGTCTTAAGACAAAGCTTGCTCTGATTTTTAAAAATCCTGCTGACAATGCTGTGTTTTTTTTCACTTGAGGCTTAAGAGAGATTTGAAGTGTCGTCATCACCCCCGCCCCCCCCACACCTGTAACTGGGGTGGTGGTGATGGATGTGTTCATTAATTGGGTTGTGGGGTCATTATACAATATTTCATTCTACATTTTACATGTATCAGGTCAACTACCTTGTATATAAAGGTTGATCAAATATTTTTAGTTGTTTCTAAAAGTTTTTGGTGATCCAGAATAGAAATACATTGGGGTTCACAGTTCCCTTTGCTGAGGATGCTGATACATGTCTGTAATCCAAGCACTCAGGAGCAGAGGCAAGAGCACCATCCTAAATTCAAGGCAAGTCTCGCTTACATAGTGAGTTTCATCCAGACAGGGTAACTTTACAAGATCTTGTCAAGGGAGCAGAGGGCTGGGAAGATGGCTCAGTGGTTAAATGCTCTTGCTGCCCTTCCAGAGGACCCAGGTTCAATTCCCAGCACCAATAAGGCAGCTCACAATTGTCTGTAAATCCAGTTCAAGGACAACTGATAGCCTCTTTTGACCTCTGCATGAATGTGGTACAAACACATAGGCAAAACACTCATGATAGATAGATAGATAGATAGATAGATAGATAGATAGATAGATAGATAGATAGATAGACAGACAGCTGTTCTGAACAGCCAAATCCTAGAGACTTGGAGTTCTGGGATTGGAAGGGTTACTAACAGTAGATGATGTCCTGGGATCCCCAGCTTTTTCCTTTGTATTAAAATTATTTTTTTAAACTTTTGTCTTACCCATGTCACTCAGTTGGTGGTTGTAGGTTTCTAGATTAGAGGAAGCCCTGTCCCCATCATGGCATTCTACCCTCATTTTTCTGACACACCTACAGGAGAGTGTTCTCATGCATTCTGTAAGTCTATTTGCACACACACACACACACACACACACACACACACACACACACACACACACACACACACACACACCTATGCACTTTGAATGGTGTTTCAGTATTTTCTGGGGCATTCAGTCTTAATTTTCCATAAGGACTTTGAAAATAGATGAATTTCATATTTTTTCTGACACTGTCTTCAGAGTTCCTTGATTGGAAAGTTATTGAATAATAAAACCCCCAGCTGAGAGTCATGCAAAGTCAGTAAATATTCTCCAATATCCATCAAGATAACAACATGAACAATATTTTAGCTTTGTTAGAAGCAATGAGAAGTTTTGAGAGACAAATAATTTAGAAGTACAAAGGGTGATGGAGCAGAACCCTGAGTTTATAATGATGCAAAATAAATAAATAAATAAATAAAATGAGGGAAACTCCCACCATAGTCTAGAATACAATGTGGGTATAGTGTTATATTGTGTCTCAAAAATAGTGCACATAAGATTATTATTTTATAGGGTAGGCTGTCTATTTATTTATTTATTTGACATCTTGACATACTAAGGCTCACATTATTTATAGCTCAAACACTTGTCAAAATAGCAACCCTACTAATTAACATAAAGTCATGTACAAAATGTTCTAAAATAATAAGTTATCTCATGTTGATGAAGGTAATATAAATTATTGGTCAGAAGAGCCCAGAGCACTTCGGACCAGAAGGAGCAAAGTGAATGTGTGTACCAAGGAGCTGTGGCAGCTACTTACAGGGATACATTTTAATCTCTGGGTGTGTGACTTTTTCCATCAGACAGCCTGGATGACAGGGAGAAGGCTTCTCCATTTTCTTATGACAGCCCCTGATTAAGCACTTGGAATCTGAAGTAATATCACCAAGCAGAGCGGAAGGGTAGCCCAGGAGGATCCCCACCTCTCCCAGGCTCTGTTCATCCACTCTCAGTCTGCCAGTCTGCTGCTAAGTGGCTCTCAGTGGCTGTGGCAAGTCACTGGGCCATCTGCCTCCATCTGCCAGCTCTTACAGAAGCCACAGTACCCCAGCTAGTAAAGGCACTCTGAGAGGCTATGGTATTCACTCAATGGGACTTTTAGTTCAGGCATCCAGCCAGTGATCTCCTGTGGGCTTGGTGTGGGCAGATTTGGGGAGCCCCTCCTCTGTAGGAGGCACTGTCCTAGGTATTAGACATGTAGGCATGAAAAGGGGAGTTAGTCCCTGCTCCCACAGAGCTTGGGCCAAGACAAGTAAACACAAATAGAAGAGAAGAAACTTTGGGTCGTGATGAGTGCTGTTATGATTACGGGGGGCACTGGAGAGATGAGCTCAGAAGTTAAGAGCACTGACTGCTCTTCCAAAGGTCCTGAGTTCAATTCTCAGGAACCACATGGTGACTCATAACCGTCCATGATGAGATCCGATGCCCTCTTCTGGCATGCAGGCAGAACACTGTATACATAATAAATTAATTTTTTTAAAAAGATTACAGAGGGAGCTGGAACATGGTAGGGGTGGCAAGGAGCCAGTGGGATTGTCTGTGGATATATCACTTGATCAGAAGCCAGCCAGGCAAAGGTCTGGGGTTGTGTCTCAGGTACAGAAAGGCAGAGTAAGTGTGCTGGAGATCTGGAGATGGGCAGGTCCTGTAACAGGACGGTGGCTGGTGAGGCTCAGGTCAAGGAGAAAGGAGGAAGGAAGAGGAGGCAGGGCTCTTCATGGAGGGACTGAGGCCAGGCTAGCAGCCTCCATCTAAGTGATTCACATATCTCAAAGATAATACCATAATGCATCGGGCACACATTTTAAGTTCTTATTGGTATTAAAGCATTTAATTCTCTATCACCATCTCTGCTTATAGAATAGGAAACTGCAGACAGAGATGTTAAGTGATTTGTGAGGTGGAGCCAGGATATCATGTGCTTTCATGATATGTATGTGCCCTCTAGTTACCACATGGAGCACTGCTCTGGAGCCTAAGACTACCGGGTCCTTGCTGCTGGTCCAGGCTGAGGCCAAGGAGCCACCATGGACAGCTCCATGCATCTCTTCCTCTTGCTCTCTGACTGCATAGGCCCAGCAGCCATTTAAGGATAAACTTATAAAACACAGGCCAAACCCCCCCCTCCCCACCAGCCCATGCCCCATCCTTCCACCCCTGCCAAAGCCTTCAGAACTGGGTGAACTCTGAAGACACAGCCCCATGAGAGATCTGGCGGCCCAGGCTACACAGGCACAAGGTCTTCAACATGATCACATCTAGGGCTACTGACCAGTAAAGTTCCCTCCAATGACATAAGGAATGACCCCTCCAGGCCAAATCCGCTCTGTCCTTGAGGTTGTGGCTCTTCGGACCCGGGCAGAGAAGGTCTTATCTGTGGTGGTGTCCGAGGTCCCAGGGCCAGGCAGAAATGTGACATCATCCTTGCCATCTGCAAGACAGACAATGAATCAATTACTTTGCCCACAAAGTCTTCTTCGGTGGTGGATTGACACAGTGTGGGAAACCTGCGTTCTAAAGGAACATTTCACCCATCACGGTTTTTGAGAATGTTCCAGCCCCAGGGAAGAACATGTGTTGAGCTCAGACCATGGGCTTCTGACCACAGAGGGTCTGGCTTGGCTGGGGTCCTGAAAAAGCCTCTCCCCTGGGAAGGCATAGAATCAAGAGGACCCAGAGAACTGTGAAACCACTGTAGGACCAAAGCTACACAACAGAGGGAGCAAGCAGAGTCAGTCCTTTGCCTTGACCTAAGAATGTCAATGGTATGGACTTTGAAATCATCTGGGAAAGGCTAACCAATCTGTGATAGTGGCAGGGGGAGAGATAGAGTCTTTGTAAAATGGTTACTGGAAAACCAGAGCCCCTTAAATCTCCCCAGTCTCAGTGATGTCGGGACCCTTAAGAGAAGAAACACAAGGGAAACAAGTGTAGTTTGTTTCTGAGTTCCGGGGCTGGGAGGTGGCTCAGTAGTTAAGAGCTTATACTGCACTTGGACCAAGTCAAGTGGCTCCATCTGTCCTCCACGGGCGCTGCAGTCACATGCATCCTCCCAGACACCCACCACACCCTCCCAAACACCCCATCCCACACATATACACATAATTAATTTAAATATTTAAGAAAGGTTCTGAGTCCAAAAAGGGCCTCCCAAATAGTGGGAATTTGGAGCAGAATGTTCAAGCTGGGTTCCCTGACCATGCTGGACCTCCACAGCACCACCCAATGTGCTTGCTTAAAACTCCTCTTTGCTCCTACTTGGAGAACTTCCCCAGTTCTTACCTTTCCCCTAAAAAATCGCTATTAAAAATTCACCTTTTTTTTTACTTTCCTTTATTTCATTTATTTAGTTACTTCCTTCTCTTTTTATTTTTATGTTTCTTTTCTTTCCTTAAAAATGAGCTATAACTCACCACCCTAGCATTCACTTTCAAAGTGTACAATTTCATGAGTGTTGGTATGTTTACTAAGTGTGCAGCCGTGACCACTCTCTAATTATATGAGTTTGTCGTCACTGCAAAAGGAAACCCTGTCCCCATTAACAGTCCCTTCCAGTTTCTCCCTTTTCTTTGTCATCCAATGATCTGCTGGGTTTCTGTGGCTGTGACTGTTCTGGTCACTCTCTAGGAGCAAGATCAGGGCACAGCAGCCCCCTGGCTCTGCTGCTTTCATTTGGCTTATGTTCATTCACAGTGATACTCCACTGCATGGGTAGACGACATTTAGCTTATCTGTCTTTGGCTAAACATCCGAGCCATCTCCACTTAGGGGTATAATAAATTATTTTGCCATCAGCACTCATGCGCACATTTGCTTTGGTGGGCATTGATTGCCACTCTGCTGAGCATGCAAATAAGATTTGTTTCAGGTTGTTTAACACTCGACCATATATGTATATCGGTATATTGGCAAGCTAAAACAGAGAAATCTTTCATGTTATTAAATTTCCTTCTATTACATTTTATTTGCTTATTTTGTATATGTGTGTGTGTGTGCGGGGCTGGAGAGATGGCTCAGAGGTTAAGAGCACTGAATGCTCTTCCAGAGGTCCCAAGTTCAATTCCCAGCAACCACATAGTGGCTCACAACCATCCGTTATGAGATCTGGTGCCCTCTTCTGGTGTGTAGATATACATGGAAGCAGAATGTTGTATACATAATAAATAAATAAATAAATAAATAAATAAATAAATAAATAAATAAAGGAGACCGCTTCCTGAACATTACGCCAGTAGCACAGACATTGAGGTCTGCAATTAATAAATGGGACCTCCTGAAACTGAGAAGCTTCTGCAAAGCAAAGGAAACAGTCAGTAGAACAAAACGACCACGCACAGAATGGGAAAAGATCTTCACCGATCCCACATCTGACAGAGGACTGATTTCCAAAATATATAAGGAGCTCAAGAATCTAGCCACCAAAACACCAAACAATGAAATTAAAAAGTGGGGTGCAGAACTAAATAGAGAATTCTCAACAGAGGAATCTGAAATGGCTGAAAGACACTTAA